CACCTTGCAGAAAACAACTAATATGGCCTACTTCCTCTTAAAACACGAAGCCTGATACTAAGAGGATTCTCACAGTCCCAATTGACAGCCCAAAATGAATATCAAAATAAGTCATGATAAATTGAAATATAAAGTATTATATTTATATAAAGTATTAAATATTATATTTTATATAAAACAATAAAAAATATATAAATGTGCATTGATTACTATGTTGACTACGCTTTACAGTAGCATTTTATTCTGGGCAGTGATAAAGAGACAACATTAATCGGCTATATTTTTCTTGAGTGACCAAGAACCTTAAGTGTACATTTTTTTAATCAATTAAATGAATGTACTATATTTTAGTTAAATAATATTTATATAATATTTTGAGGAGATTCTTTGGTACTAAATGATATCTGTGGAATAAATATGATCCATTAATGACGATTTAAAATATTTTTGTCTAGTATGTTTATTATTTATATTGCAATTAGTGTAGTATTTAAAGGGGTCATATTACGTTGCTAAATAAAGAACATTACTTTGTGTATTTGGTGTAATGAAACAACTTAACCACTGATTTCTAGTTGTGTCCTCTTTTGGAAGACCAAACAAAGTAGTTTCGCTTTCACAGCGTCTCCACGACATGGCGGCGGCGGCAACAAAACTACAGTGAGAATCAAAGTTACACCTTCTTTCTTTGCGTATACATTTGGCCGGTGTTATGCAAATCTTCCCACACAGTGACGTAGACATGTGGGGGCGTGTTTAAACGAGGCGTTTTAGGAGGGCGTGGACGAGTCTTAACTTTTATAAAGAATATCTCTTTGGGTTTGAGGCCATGTCCACACGTACACGGGTATTTTTATAAACAAGGAGTTTTTCCTTCTTCCGTTTAAAAAAAAATCTCAGTCCACATGAAAATGCAAATGCATGCTATGAAGCACTGTCAAGAGCATGCCAAACCAACAGTTGGCGATATAATCTCAACCGTGAAGCCATGTTGTCCAATCAGAAGCCTGAAAAAGTTTCCAGTAGGTGGAGATAACAGTGCATGCTCCAACGTCACAAGCCATAAACTCCGGTTTTACTGTCTACACGACAACACTGCAACCGGAGTTTTTGAAAATCTTCACCCTGGCAGGCATTTTAAAAAATGTTCGGTTTCAGTAACCTGGTGCTGCGTTTGCGTGTGGACGAATGGCCAAACCGCGTAGAAAAAGCAGTGGTTTTAAAAATAACCGCGTTCGTGTGGACAGGGCCTGAGACTTTAGTCTTTGCAACTTTAGAGATCGTATCTATTCACAAAACAGCTTGTAACACTCCAAAGAGAAAGGAAAACTTGAAATCGCGTCATATGACCCCTTTAAGGTTGTATTACAATTAGTGTATTATTTAAGGCATAAGTATACACAACAAGTGAATATTAATAAATGCAAGCAAATACTGAATTTAATCCAAGTTAGAAGTTTAAAATAGTGTTTAAAAAAAGCAATCAGTTGCATTCAGCAAAACCTTTTTATTATATAATATATCCAGGGAGGCACTAGGTAAGTTATTCTGAATGGTCTTCACAAGGTTCGGGAGGAGCACGATCAGATAATCAACCAATTCAGCACAGGTGGAGCTCGTCTAATTGATCAACTTAATTAGTGTTATATATACAGTGGGGAAAATATTTATTTGATCCCCTGCTGTTTTCGTAAGTTTGCCCACTTACAAAGAAATGAAGGGTCTGTAATTTTTATGGTAGGTTTATTTTAATGGATAGAGACAGAATACCAATAAAAAAATCCAGAATAAACACATTATATAAAGGTTAGAGATTTGTAACCATCAATCGGCCTCGGTCTGGAGCTCCGTGCAAGATCTCGCCTCATGGTTGATGATGATTCAGTGATTCAGAGAAGGCTTGGGAGAAAGTGCTGTGTTCAGATGAGACAAAATTGAGCTCTTTGGCATTAACACGACTCGCCGTGTTTGGAGGGAGAGAAATGCTGACTATGGCCCCAAGAACACCATCCCTACAGTCAAGCAGGACGACTTCACCGCATTGAGGGGCAAATGGACGGGGCCATGTACTGTAAAATCTTGGACGAGAACCTCCTTCCCTCAGCCAGAACACTGAAGATGGGTCATGGATGGGTCTTCCAGCATGACAATGACCCAAAACATACCGCTAAGGCAACAGAGGAGTGACTCAAGAAGAAGCACATTAAGTTCATGGAGGGACTGTGTGAGGCAATGTATCTTCCCCTGCAGTGGGTGACGTCGTGCAGGAAACGCCACTCTCCCTCCCTCCGGGGATTCCCCAAAACATCGGCGATTCGTCTCCATATATATCAATTATCATTTCCGTTGTTCTTTTTAATTAAGGACTTGGTCCTCCTCCGGTTGCTGGATTTTTTCGTTTAAATATTTCCTTCTTTGCTTCCTGTACCGTGTTTTTAAACCATTTCTGTACATCTTTGGCGGTTCGCGGGACCAAGGGATTTACACTATTAACTTTATCCGTTATTGTGGCCCAAACCTTGTGTTTTTTGTTAGGTTAAAAGTTTGGGTGTTATCATGGATAGCACACTGTCTTTTGAAACTCAAATTAATAATATCACACGGACTGCATATTTCCACTTGCGTAATATTAACCGTCTCCGTCCCTTTCTCTCAACCAATAATACAGCAGTTCTTGTTCATGCACTAGTCACTTCACGTATAGAGTACTGTAATGCCCTTCTCACTGGTGTTCCCTCTAAATTGCTACATAAGCTCCAGTTGGTTCAGAATTCTGCAGCTCGTGTTCTTTCTAGAGCACCCTCTACTGAGCACATTTCATGTTTACACCCCTTCACGTGCTCTCAGATCCTTATCTTCAATTTCTCTTGTGGTACCTCGGATTCGACTAACTACCATGGGTGCCAGATCTTTTAGCTATGCTGCACCCCCCGCCTATGGAACTCCCTTCCCCCTGATATTCACAACAGCGATTGCCTGCTAACTTTTAAAACGTGTCTTAAGACATATCTTTTTATACTGGCTTTTTTATAATGTTTTATTGAGTCTTTACTGCACTTTATCTGTATATGCGGAGTGTTTGTTGTGTGTTTTTGTCTTGTGTAGTGATTGTGATTTGTATTTATTTTTATCTTTGCTTGCTTGTGAGGTGACCTTGGGTGTTTTGAAAGGCGCCATTAAATAAAATGCATTATTATTATTAAATATTAGGGGGGAAAACAATTTCATAGAGACATCAGTAGTATTGGTATCAGTGATACTGGCCTTCAGTCATAAAAAAAGATGCCATTAAACAAATATTAAAAATATATTGTCGTTATGTTGTTTGTACATTAATTTGAAGATTTAATGTGAAATTATTGCTATAAAAGTATATTTAAAAACTTTAATGTTAGGTGGGATTAATCGCTATTAGTTTCAGAAAAAAATGTGTGATTTTTTTTAATTTTTTTTATTGACAGCACTAATATATATATATATATATCTGCACACACACACACACACACACTCAGCCAACTCAACTCTGTCCCACGACAGATTTCCGGCATCCCTCCTCCACTCCAACAACTCACTCGTAAACAGTGTTGGGCAGTAACGCATTACTTCGTTACTAAAAAAGTAATCAAATTACAGTAATGCGTTACTGAGTAATTTAGCGGATTATAATTTTCAAAATAGTAATTAGGGTATAGTTACAAGCCGAGGTCTCTATACGTTACTGCCGCATTACATTGCTGACAGAATGCAGTGTTTTATAATCTAGAGATTGTAAAAAGGATGTAGCACACGCACTGTCGAGTCAAGTGCCAGTGGGTTAGAGACCTGCTCTCCCGCGAGGCCCGACGCAACAGAGTGCGGACAAGATGAGCGAGTGCTGGTGAGGGCGGGTAGACACTCGTATTTGTGCGGGATGTGGGAGAATAAAATGTTTCACGGGACTCCCACAAAATAGAAATATCTAAACATAAAAAGATTCATTATGCATATATTTATTGTGTTATAACATAGATTTGTGAAATTGCGATGAACTGAAATGTCTTTTAGAGATTATAAATGCCATGTATGTGACAAATAAAAATCGTGAATCTATGCTAGGATTTCATAAATTTCATGGAGGAAAAAAAGTAATGTAACTAATTACTAATTACTTTTGAAATAAAGTAATCATAACAGTAATGTGGTTACTTTTAAATGGAGTAATCAGTAATCAGTAATTTGATTACATTTTCAGAGTAACTTGTCCAACACTGCTCGTAAACTATTCTCATCCCGGGGATGGGGGATGGGGGGGATTTCTCTTGGTTTGGGCTATATTCTGAGCTCAGAGCCCTCCTTCAAGACACCATGCCAAATATGCTTACTATTTGCTAAATCCTTTTGTATGTAAGTGCGAACTCGTGAAACTCATTCCAACTCCAACAGGGAGAGAAAGATTGCAGAAAGACTAAAAACTGTTATTGGTTATAGTAGCGGTTATGGTAGCTATTAAAAAGAGTTGCTCACATTTTCTAACTACATTTATCTTTTGATAAACATTAACTATAGTGCTTTATAAAATACCACTACTGGCTAGATTCCCAAGAGGTCAACTAAACCATCTGACAAAATCATTTAGATTTAGAAGTGCATGATGATGTGAACTAAAAGTTTAATGACATTTGTAACCATATCAATTTACATTAAATAACTATCTGTTAATCATTAGGTAAAGTTTGATAAGTACATTAGTAAACATTAACAAGCACATTATTTCATTTCTCTAGGTATGTGAATATATATTAACTAATGATCTGTTAAGCATTATACGATGTTTTTTGATTTAATAATGAAAGCTTTTATAAAGTTATACCTGATTTTTGCATCACACTTTCTATGAAAGTTTGTTAGTTTGTTGTTTAACTTATTAACCCTTGGATCAGAAGTAATTATTGTACCTTAATTTTTACCTGGCTGCCAGTTATTTTCTTCTCCGCTTCAAACTATTTTGTATTATCTTTCAGGTTTTTGGCAGAGTTTCATGAGGACTTCTTTCCAGAGTCTGCATATGTGTCTGCAACTGAAGCCCATTACAGCATGAAGCAACCACGCTCAGTCTTCTAAGAATCCTTTACAGAGAGAGTTTATATTGTGCTGTGCTCTTCTGAACTTCTGGTCCTCCCCTGACACTGAATGTTGAGCCTATGTTCTTTCTACTTGCAAATTCTATAAATTTCCCTGAAGTATTTCACCTGTCCATTTCTAATTGTACATTTGCAATGTATGACAAAATTTTCTTGACAATCTTTTTTTGTTATTGTTTATAGTTTTATTTTAAAGCATATTGAATTCAGTTGTGCAAAATTATCATTTTCTTATTTTCTAGTTTTTCTGTCATATGAATCCACTATTACCTCAAACTTCCTTATTTTGCTTGTCCTTTCCCTCTCATTCCTCTGCACGAACTTAAACAAGCAGTTGCGCAAAAGCAAGAGGTTTATTGCACATTTGCCACATAATTGTTGTAGTAACATTGTATTAATAATGCTTTTTTTTTTAATTATGAGCTCCACTGATAATTGCTTTGTGAGTCTTTCACTCACAAAATATATTTCTTTTTTTGTATATTGCTGTATATAAAGTTTTCAGTGGTAAAAGGTTTCATCTCTTTTCTTTCTGTGAAAATAGGACAGGGCTGGGTTTTAACAATATTGGCCCCCCCCCCCCCATTATTTATAATAATTAAGTTCATTATTCCCTTGTGTTCCTGTTTCTGTGTATTCTATGGTGTCTTGTAGTTTATCTATTAAAGCCATAATCACTTATGGTGCTGATTAATTTCTCAATACATTATTCAAACTTTTGTTTCCAGTGCTTAAAGGACTTTGAAACTTGTGATTGGTATGAGGAAAATACTTGTTTTGTTGCAGCCTTTCACTGGCATTAATTTCACATATTGAAAAAACCTTAAAAATAGGTAAACACTTCTGTGTAAACATTATGTGCAAAACTATTTGAAGATGTTATTATTTTTATTACTGAATTTGTATTTCAAAAATCTAAATTATCATGCTCATAGCTTTTTCAACATCTGTGATGACAGACAAGGTTGTGCCCCATTTTTTATTTAAAGTAGCGTTTGCGGCCTTGTTACTGTCAAAACATTATTAATTATCATGCTTTATTTGTACATTTACCTATACCAGTAACTTTAAAGTTAACAGATAATGTACTTAATGGCTTTGTTTGCTGTTTTAATTATGAAATTCACCACTCTGGCAAGTCAAGTTAGCTCATTAAAGCACATCAGCATTATTGTAGATTTGAGTAAAAGTTATCAAGTTATTTGAATGGAATTTATTTATTTATGGGAGGTTCTATCTATTGATAGATAGATAGATAGATAGAAATAATCAATAGATAGATAGATAGATAGATAGATAGAAAGAAAGAAATAGTCAGATGATAGATAGATAGAGTCAGATAGATAGTCAGATGATAGATAGATAGTTTGAAGTTTAAAGTAGTTTTAAAAGCTTAAAGTTTGAATGTTTTGAAGGCAATACAGTCTGTCAGAGATAGATAGATAGATAGATAGAATCAGACTGAAGATAGATAGATAGATAGATGCAGCTGCTAGAATACCCGTGTGGTTGCTAAGGTGTT